GGATACATTTCAGCCTGATCAGCAATTGGCTACCAATACTTTGTATTGAAATGCAATGCAAGACCAGTGTATTTTCAAACCATTACCTGTATTTGAAACTTCTGAAAATCCAAAGTAGAAATAAAATATGAATAGTAATTTGGATACATGAAAGATTCATGCATTTGAATAGCATTCAAGTATTTTCTGTTTTTAAACATCTATTTTTATTCTTTAGTTAATACCATCTTAAAAAAAAAAAGAGATCAACACATAATGCTCAAGACTCTCTTAATTTCTCCCTCCGATTGATATTTGTCACAATAGCCTAAATAACTGCCACCAAAGTAGCACAGATAATTTTCTGACACTATAAACATTACTTCACATCTCAACTATTAGGTAATACTAACTGATTGCCCAGAAATCAATTATTGTTAACCTCTCAACCCAAGAGGAAGGAATAAAAATCAAGACTTCATGTTACCACAACAAATTTAAGTGGACTGCTTAGGTAACCTGGAAATGACTTCTAAAGTTTTACCTAATGCATACCTAAAGATAGCCAAATTAGCCAACAAGAACTCAGTTTTTGCAAAAACAGAATAAAGAACTAATTCTAATTAGCAGGGCTCGACAAATTATGCAAAACCCTACTTGCCAGACAAAAAAGGGACTTGCCACCCCCCGCAACTGCGCAGGCGTGCACCACCGGAGAGTGGGACGACTGGGACAGCATGTTTGTTTACGTCAGTTATCATGGCCATGGTTATCGTTGTTTGTCATTCTTTGACGTTTTGACGCAGTCTCAAAAACTTCAATGAAAGTTACAACAATATTTTCATAGGCATGCTCAGCACATTTCATTAGGGTGTGCACCCAAAGTTTTTTAAAATGTACTCTTTGATCCCCATTAGCCACACCTCTGACCCCTGTTAACCATGTCCCTGACCCCCGTTAGCCACACTCCCGGACTCCCATTAGCCATGCCTCTGGAGGTAACACTCTCGGGGCAAGATGGACACAAGACCAGAACTAAAAGGTGTCATGTGATGCCCCTCTAAGGACTTTTCCCACCATCCTCCTACCAATAGTGATTAGTTTGGCCCCCACCAAACCTCCTCATGCAACTATCCCGCAATTGCATTAACCCAATGTGCGTGACATTAACTCGGGGGCGGAGAGGATGGGGGAAGTGTTCCCTCTAAGAGTTTCCTCCCATGAGCAGAATGAATTGTGTTGTGCACCAGTATTGAGTTCATGTGTCTTGTTTGGATGTGCCACTGTGGCACCCAAGTTATTAATAAATATCTTATAAACCTCTACCTTTTCCCTCTGCTGCCATGTCTCCTCCTCTTGCTCCATCAGCTCCCCTGGTGCCTGCTGCCCTCCAACCCCTCATCCTTTAAGTTATTAATAAATATCTACCTTTCCCCGCTGCTGCCATGTTTCCTCCCCTTGCTCCATCAACTCCTCTGGTGCCTGCTGCCCCCCACCTCCTCCCCCTCCTCTGCTGTCCTGACTCCTTCCCTTCTCATTGCCCTCAGCCCTCCTGCGACCTGCCCCCATCCACCAGCCCTTCTCTCCCCCCTGTGCCCACTCCTCCAGTAGCCCCACTCTGATCATGTGAGCCCCCCTTCCTCATCCCCTCTCCTAACACCTCCCTCTACACACTTGCCCTGCCTCTCTCCTCTGGTCCCTCCCCCCCCCTTCTGCTTCACACCCAGAATCCCCTGGCACCTGCACCCTCCTGGTGCCTCCCCCTTCCCTCACTGTCCCTGCCCCCTGATGCCACCCCCTCACCACCCTCTGCCCCTGTTCCCCTCAGGCCTCTGTGCCCTCACACATCCCCTCCTTCCTCATGCCCACCCCTTCTTTCAAGCCTTCTCCCAGCACCTCCCCCCTCTAGCTTCAATGCCCTTACCCTCTCCTCTCCTAGCATCACCCTGTCCCCCCCTCCCTCTCACTGACACTTCCCCTCCTGCCCTTTTCCTTAGTCTCCACTTGGCCCCCTGGCATTTGTCCCTCCTGCACTCGTCCATTGGTGCCTTCTCCTTTCTCCTCCTGACCTGTCCCCCTCCGGACCTCCTCTTAGCACAAGCCCCTTCCCCCTATTTTTCTCCCCTCCCTGGCTTCTGCCTTCCAGTTTGCAGGGCTGCTGGAGCCTTTTTTAATCCAGCTGTCGCCAGCCATGATGTCACGATGTCACATCACGCCAGCATCCTGGTGTTTGCCGGTGTCCCGCCCTCTGGCTTGCATCCCGCCTCCTCGCGCCGGAGCTGCACGCAGGCAGCCCAGCACCGAGAATTGCCACACTTCCCCCTCTCCGGCGGCGCTCCACTCCTCCACCCAGCCGGCAGATTGGATGGGGCTGCGCTGCCCGTAGTGCAGGCTTCGGCCAGCCTGTCACAATGGCCCACTGGGACAGCCAGCCCCTGCAGTTGCTAGCTGGTAAAATCTATTTGCCACGGGCGAGGATATTTGTCGAGCCCTGTTGATTAGGTATTTTGGGCGTTTAGTTGATACCAGTAATCATAAGACATTAATAATGCCAGAATTCATATTACTGTACATTTTAAATATGGATTGGTTATAACAAACGCATTGTCAAGTGTGGAAGCAGGGAAAGGAAAAAGGGAATTTGTGTACAGCCATCTCCCTTATTTGTTATCAACAGAGCAAGACTCAGGCTAACCCTGAGGCCTTGCAACGCGAGAGCGAGAATTGCAAGAGATGATGTCTTCGCTTCGCCCTAAAAGATAAAGATAGAAAACTGACTCCAACAGGAACCTTGAGATAAGCTAGCATCTCAAGGGAATAGTGTGGGCAGACAGATAATTTCTAGCCATTGTTGTATGTAATGGGAAGGTATATATATTGCCCTTTTTACTGCTTGTACTTTAAGATCTGCTTAGGAAGGGGGACCCCCCATCTGACCACAGTCTTCCTTTGCAATTGCTCAAAAAACAAGTCTCCGACCTGTTGCTTACAAACGCAGAGTGAGGACTTTGTTTTCTTCCAGACAAACATTCATAAGTTTTATTTGTACATTTTTTTGATCAACTTTTTTGGACGGGGATAGATTTACCTTTGCTTACACAGTGTCTAGCACAGGGATAGGAAACCTAAGGCCCACAGGCCAGCTCCAGCTCCTGGCTTCCCTTGATTTGGCCCACAAGGCTTGGGGCTCTCTGCTCCTGTGGAGGGGGGGAGGGGGAGAAGCGGATAACCGGCACTAAAGCCCCTGCAAGGCAGGCTCTACCTGGTGCAGGGTGGAGGAGAGGAAGCAGGTCTGTGTTCTGCCATTCTCCTCCCCCTAACTGAGGGAATGCCAGTGCAGGGAAGAACTTGGCTGCAGGCTTTTCTCCTTATAGCTTCCACTGGCTGGGAATCTCACTAGTGTGTGGCCCCAGATCATTTTTTCTGTGGATCAGTGGCCCCCCCCATTGAAAAAATATGTTCCTCACCCCTGGTCTGGCACTATAGGACTTGGATTCCCTTTAGGGCCTCTCACCGTAACAGCGACATTCATAGAACTGATTATGTTAATCTATATTAATCTTTCCTCTAGATTCTATCTCAAAATACTACATGGAAGAAATTGTTATCTTAATGGCTATTACAGTGAAATTTTAATGAAATATATAGAATAAGCTCTCCATGCAATTAGTATTCTTGTCAAGTCTTCAACTATACTGAAACAGTAGCACTCTGAAGTAAAAAAAAGTATGCAAGAATACATTTAATCATTTATTCTTTCAGATTTTGCAAGAATAAAACAGGCAGGAAATAGGTGAAACCGGTTAGAAAAATATTAATGCATTACATTGCTTATGCTACAAGCTGTGAAAAGAAGCTGGAGTATCATCTTGCCAAGCAGAACTGCAAATATAAGAAATTAAGCACTGATCCTGCACATTCCTCATAATTATTTTGCAATTGTTTTTTAAGAGAAACATAATTACACAGAATATTCAATGAAGACTTTCCAGATATAATTTTTCTGAAATTTTCAAATGATATGGTATTACACTATATCAGTCACTGACAACTACTCAATTCACAGACATGTATGTATTCAAGGATCAGTAGAAATTTCTTGACATAAGGATTTCTCACAAAGCCTTTTATGGGTTTAAGCCAAGTCCATTACTATAAACCTACCAGACTGTAGGTCCTACAGATGAGGACTAAAACGGAAAATTCTTGGAATAGTGAACATTCCCTCTCATATTTTAGAAAAGACCAAACATTACATCTAAGTTTAAAACGTCAAACTGATCATCTATTGCTTGACATTTTTTGTCGTTATGGACTTCTGATTATGTGTAACACTTAAAATGTTAGTGAAAACATCTAAGTCAATAGTCTATCTTCCTTTACTATATTTGAATTCATAATAGTATCCATAATTATGCAGTACCCACAAATCCATTTATAGTCCAGATTAATATGATTTCTTAATTTAATTTTAAATTATTATTACAAATTTGAACAGCATAGGAAAGACTATTTTAATAGACTTTGTGAAAAGTCTATATTGGAAAAAAAGTCAACAGTACTTACTTCTACCAGAAGTTAAATCACTGAATGAATTGAAATGTTCATACTATTAAAGTATTTACTACTCCAAATGAACTAGAATTAACTCTTGCTAACTTTTGACAATAATTCTCTACTTCAGTATCAGTAGATTTGAATCACCACTGCTTTAAAAAATACTCAATAATAGACCCATTTAATATAAAACATCAAGTTAGTGACAAAGGACCTACAGTAACAGTTAAGTCTTGCAGAATGCTAATGGATGTCTTAAGCACAGAAAGAAATATGATAGACCATGCAATCTTACTGAACTCACCTGACAGAGGTGTAAAACCATTCTCTACGAGCAGAGATGCATGCACAAAAGTAAGAATATGATTGCAAGTAACAGACTTCCAAAAATACAAACACAAACTTTAAAACAAAATGGAAACATGGTGAAAATAATAAATAGAAAATATTATTGGGTTCCTCACCTCTCGTTTTGCAAGCAGCACATTAGGAACAATATGCGGCAGGCAACGTCCCAGCATTAACATGACACTTTTTTCACTATCTGCAATCCGAGACACCTAAAAACACAATTATTTTTATGAGACATAGGGACTGAAATGTAACCTCGTATTAAAATATTTTTCGGAAGCGGAGACTAAACTTTCCAAGAACTACACTAGTGACGTGACAGAATAAACCAACCTCAAAATTGAGAATTTATCATTTAAATCTTATCACGTCATATTCCTTGTTTCTTAATACTTGTGGAAAGGATTGTTATACAATCTATATGTATATGATGTTTTGTTAAAAACAAGAGCTATTGCTTGGTTAATGGAAGTCAGTGAAAAGATACAAACACCATGCCCCTTTTACAAGGGAAATATACCTCTGATCCCAAACGACTCTCTGCTGACATCCGACAGAAAGATAATAGTGCTTGATGGAAAGCTGGTGACAACTTCCTGAAATAAGTGTCAGTAGAAAAGAAAAGATCAGAGTTGACCCTGATAGAATCCTATTTACCTATTCAGTTTTAGTCACATATAGGGACATCTGAACTGCATGTTTTCTGTGTTATATATGGACAACTTTCACTTGAAGTCATATCTGATCTACATTTTAAAAGCCAGGAAAGACTTCGTTTTTCTTCAAGTTAAACTACCATTTTGGATTGAATGAAAAATGTTATTTTTCGAATTAAAACGTTTCAAAGCTGTGTTAGCACCAGCAGCACTAGGGGAAAAAAATACAATCTTTGCCAACTGACAAGGGAAAAGCACTATTTCTGCCTCAATTTATTTTCTTGGACATATTCCCATCTAATGAGCCGCAGAGACATTTTCCATCTCATAGTACTAATGATAGCAACACCAGAGAAGTCAATTACAAGCCTTCGCACTAAGCTCCAGCCATCTGCAAAAACCAGCCAGAATTTCCAAGGCTGTATATTTCCTTCTAATTCTGTGCTAAAAGTGACTTTTAAAGGGAAGAACATAAGATGAATACCTTCCCCAAGAGTATGATACCATACGATACATCACAAACAGACAAAGAAAATATTCCTTTGTGTGTAAAACCTTAGAATTGATAGATACCAATTTCAGAGAACAGAAATCTGGTAAATGTACTAAACACATTTGTCCAATAATCCTGAAGACAACAATATTTGATAATACTGGAAGGAAAAGCACCTCTAATATCAACATTTCTATACTCTAAGGCTAAGTACACTACTGTAGTTCTGTTTTCAGCCTAATGCACTGCAGGTGTAACTTGTGTATCAACACTGGATTAAGTTGTTGCCATCAAGATTTTTTTTTGTAGGAAGTCTATAGCGTTTCAGTGGCTAGTAGCTACCTGGCAGAGTAATGCAAGCAAGATAAAGTTCATCTGCAAGGCATCAGTACTCAGATTTATCATTTTTGCAAATAACTGACGCCTACCCAAGAGCTTTTCAACTGGATAGACCAAACAAACAAAAAGATTTTATATTTTCTAGATCCTAATCTATTCTCACTGCTCACCCCTACATTCAGTTTGAGCCATGTCTTGAATTGTGTGTTCAATTTATTAGTTAAGAGGATTACCTTTTCTTAGGAAAACTGTTTGGTGGATAACTCTCCAAAACTTAAGAAAATTCATCTGCAATAGAAATTATCCCAGTTGGGAAAGCATCCTCAGACAACAAGCAGCACCGAGCATGTCTGTATACTTGGTTTGTTGTATACAGTTTAGCATCTAGCATGGGTGTTGGTGCTGGGTTTAGAGAAGTTGCTTTACAGATTTTCTGCTATGGAGCTAAAGACAAAAGAAAACCTGCCACACTTACATCACTCCTGATCTTGCTGAAACTTGTACTTCCTGAGTTTGCTTAAGAGAAATTATCCTGAAGAAAAATGCCAGGATCTTAAAATCCTGAAGTAAGACTTATCTTGCACAGATATTTCAATACAATACATATCCTGCAATAAGTCTCTTCAATATAACTTTTCTTGATACTGGACAAGCTTTCAATCTTTTTTCCAGTAATCTTAGTCAGTCATAAGAGATATCCTACGAGAATAGGAAACAGGCTTAAACTTTCGGTCAGGACATTTCTCATTAAACAAGTGCGTGAATGAAATTATGATATCTAGATCTAAGAGCCAAGGCCTTTTTGGCAGCGTTTGAAATTATGAATCAATGAAACTAAAAAATAAGGGGAGTTCTTGACTTGCTCATCTGAACTTTCTCTGATCAGAGTCTCATCAAGAAAATGGCAAGTAGATACCACCATCCATTAGGACTGCTATGAGAATTATGAACACCTTTTGAGAAATCATTAACCTAGAAAGCAGAGCTTTATACTTTAAAAACTAGCTACACTCAACCAGCCAAATAGCCACATTCTTTAAGAGACAGTATTAAAATACTTAATACAAGGTAAGGACACACAGATACCCTCTGACCAACAGTACAAGAACAATAATTCTGCATGGACTCCTCCTGATGGTCAAAATGGCAGACTAGCCCTATACATAGAATGCTTCCGTCGATGTGCACAGGCAGAAATTGTGGAAAAGTAGCATTGCTTGCCCCATAACCTCAGCTGTGCAGAATGCAATGCCATCCACAGCCTCAGAAACAACTCTGACATTAAGAGGCTGATAATGGAGGTGCAGTTGGCATCATGAATAGGTCAGTATCAAAAGGAGGCTTTCAGACAACTCTCCAATACCACACTCTATAGGCCACTATCCTCAGATCCCACTGAGAAGTACACAAAGAAACTACACCATCAAGACACTCCCTACGAAAGCACAGGAACAATTCCACATAGAATAACTCTGGTCAGGACTTTAGGGGTATGTCTATCTACTACCCAAGATCCATAAACCTGGAAATCCTGGATGTCCCATCATCTAGGGCACTGGCACTCTCACTGCAGGACTTTCTGGATAAGTGGGTTGTCTACTCAGACCCTCCGCCACCAGCACTCCCCGCTATCGCCGAGCCACCACTAATTTCCTGAGAAAACTATAATGTATTAGTGATCTTCCAGAAAACATCATCCTAGCCATCATGGATGTAGAGGGGTTCTACACCAACATCCCACATGTAGATGGAATATAAGCTGTCAGGAAGAGCATCCCTGACGATGCCACAGCACAACAGAGAGCTCGGCCACCAGATTTATCCTCACCCACAACTATTTCAGATTTGGGGACAATTTATACCTTCAAACCAGTGGCACGGATATGGGCACCCACATGGCCTCACAATATGCCAACATTTTTATGGCTGACCTGGAACAACGCTTCCTCAGCTCTCGTCCACTAGTGCTCCTCCTCTACTTATGCTACATTGATAACATCTTCATCATCTGGACACATGGCAATGAGGCTCTGGAAGAATTCCACTGTGATTTCAACAGTTTCCGCCCCAAGATCAACCTCAGCCTGGACCAGTCTACACAAGAGATCCACTTCCTGAACACTACAGTGAGAATAAGTGATGGTCTCAAAAATACCACCCTATGCTGCAAATCTACTGACAGTTATGCTTACCTTCATGCCTCCAGCTTCCATCCCGGACACACCACACGATCCATTGTCTACAGCCAAGCACTAAGGCACAACTGCATTTGCTCCAACCCCTCAGACAGAGACTAACACCTACAAGATCTTCACCAAGCATTCTTAAAACTATAATACCCACCTGAGGAAGTGAGGAAACAGACTGACAGAGCCAGACATGTACCCACAAGTCACCTGCTACAAGACAGGCTTAACAAAGAAAAAAAAACAGACTACCACTAAGCATCACTGATAGTCCCCAGCTAAAATATCTCCAATGCATCATCAGTGATTTACAACCCATCCTGGACAATGATCCCTCACTCTCACAGTCCTTAGGAGGCAGGCCGGTCCTTGCCTACAGACAGCCTGCCAACCTGAATTCTTACCAGCAACTAACTATACACCACACCATAGTAACTAACTCAGGAACCAATTCCTGCAACAAACCTTGGTGCCAACTCTGGCCACATATCTACACCAGTGACACCATCACAGGACCTAACCACTTCAGCCACACCATCATGGGCTCATTCACCTGCACATCTATCAATATAATATACGCCATCATGTGCCAACAACGCCCCTCTGTCATATACTTTGGCCAAACTGGACACTCCCTACATAAAAGAATAAACGGACACACATCAGATATAAGGAATGGTAACACACAAAAATCTGTAGGAGAACACTTCAATCTCCCTGAACACACAATAGCAGGGGTAAAAGTATCCATTCTGAAACAACAACAAAAAAACTTCAAATACAGACTTCAAAGAGAAACTGCAGAGCTACAATTCATTTGAAAATTTGACACTATCAATTTAGGATTCAACAAAGACTGTGAATGGCTAGCCAATTACAAAAGCAGTTTCTCCTCTGTTGGTGTTCACACCTCCACATCAGTTGCTAGAAGTGGGCAACATCCTCCCTGACTGAATTGTAGTCATCTCCAGCCTTCCTTTTGATTAATACTCCTTTATTTTCATGTGCCTGTATGTTTTATACCTGCCTCTGGAATTTCCACTACATGCATCTGATGAAGTGGGTCTTTGCCCATGAAAGCTTATGCTCCAATCAATCTGTTAATCTATAAGGTGCCACAGGACTTCTCATGGTTTAAGGTAAGGATTGACAACCATTCTTTGTTGACAGCGCCAGAGTACAGAAAATATTTAGATACCCATAACACATTGGCAATTACATTTCAAACAATGTTTTACATATGGGGGGATATTCTAAAACAGTAAAAGAAAATATATAGAAGATGGGAAGTGTTGAGCTATGCGATTACCTTGATTTAACTCAACTAACTTTTTTGTCTTTATTCTGTGGACATAAAGACATTTTCAGGTATAGAGATTTTAGATTTTAAAACCTAGTTGGCTCCAAGTTTGTAAATATTTTCTTTAAGCATCATCTCCTATCTAGGTTGTTTTAGAAATTTCTGAAAATGTTATGATACAGATCCCCCCCCCCCTTTTTTTTAAATTTAAATTAAGATGAATATTCTATTCCCACTTCCCCTAATTAACAGAACTTGGAAAGCAAGCTCTTGGTAAACATCATACATTCTATCACAATTGGTGGACTATATTTAGATTCTGGAATTTATTTTATTAAATCCAGTAAAATCCTTGAAGGCTTTGACCGATAGGGCTTGGCTCTATCCTCATACATGCAAGGAGACACAAAACCTCCTTGAAGGCTGATAAATACAAATATTCAAGATTTATTTTCCAACCTCAGAAGGCATTGTAACCAAGAACTTAAAAGTAAATATATAACTAACACAACAAACATAGGAAGTATCTCATTTACTGCGAGGTCAAGCTTAACTGGATAAAAGAAGGTAAGTATCCTAATTTCTTAAGTTTAATTCAAACAATTGAACTTTTAAAGAGAGTCATCAGATGAATCAGGGGTGGGGAACCTCAGGCCCAAGGGCCAGATGGGGCCCCCAGCTTGCCTGCATCTGGCCCCCAAGGCTCAGGGCTATGCCCCACTGCAGAGCCGGAGCACACTGGGCTAGGCCCCCTTAGGCTCTGGTATGCAAGGGCAATATGCGGATTGTGGCCTCTGATGAACTTTTCTGTGGGAAGTAGCCTCCGACCCAAAAAAAGTTCCCCATCACTGAGGTAAATATTAGTGATGCATTCAACTCAAACCATGTCCAACTCCCTGCTGCAATCTGTTATACAAGGCATTTCTCCAACTACCCTCCACGTTCAAAATTGTTTTATGCCAACTGCAGTGATCCAAAGCAGGCTCTCTTCATCTCCCCATCTAGGCAAGACATGCACAAACATTTATAATATATAGTTATGCTGTAATAAGGGATTTTAGGATTTTCTTTCATGCAGTTTTATCATGGCTTTGAACAAGTAGACTTCCCCATCCTTACACCCATGTGTTATAATGAGCAGGGCTTGATGACCACGGTAAAAACCCACTCTCCAGCCCCGCACTGTACATACGCCAGACCCACACCGCACATGCGCATGTCGCCGGTGAACAAGGTGACCGGCTGAAATCTACTTGCCACGGGCGAGTAGATAAGTGGATTTGTTGAGCCCTGATAATGAGCATGCTCTAAAGAAGAATTTCAAGAAGTATGACTACATAGGCTGGTTGTATATACAGGCAGTCCCCGGGTTACATGGATCCGACTTACATCGGATCCCTACTTACAAACGGGGTGAGGCAACCCCGCACTAGCTGCTTTCCCCCAGCAGACCAGGGAGACGCGAAGCTAGTGCCCCCCCTCCAGCAGACCAGGGAGACGCGGAGCGGCTTTTCTCAGCAGACACCTCAGCTTGAGAATAAAGGACTGAGGGAAGTGAGGTGTGGGAGAATAAAACTTAGCTCTGGAGAAATGTTTGGCTAGAGTTTCCCCTACAATATGTACCAGTTCCGACTTACATACAAATTCAACTTAAGAACAAACCTACAGTCCCTATCTTGTACGTAACCCGGGGACTGCCTGTATAGCTAAGGACATATCCTTCCAAAATGTCCTTTAATAACACCTCAATTTGGCACAGTTCCTTAGATGTCAGCTAAAAAGAAGAGCTCAGGTGTAGCCATTTCCCACACATTCTCTGCAATGCAAACTCATTTAGCTTCTCTGCAAGGATCTTTGTTTATCCAACAATGCACACTTCTTGCTTCTGACATATTTACAGGTTTGTTATTAGTTTGTGTCTTTTGATAATGGCTCTAATTCTATTTTGGCCTGCTTAATTATAGTTTTATACTTGACATGCTGGATGTTATGTTACATTCTGTTTTCCTCACTAGACTTTGGCTTCCAATTTTTAAAGGATGTGCTCTTGCCTCAAACAGCTTCTTTTACTCTTGTCTATCACAGTGGCATTTTTCCAGGGTTCCCCCCCTCTTTTTCTCTATTTTTTTTAAATTTGGAGTATACTTATAGTTTGAACCTCTTTAAAAAGTTTTCATGCAGTTTGTAGGCATTTCACGCTGGAGATTGTTCCTTTAAAATGTGTTTAACTAGCCTCACTTTTGTGTCACTCCCCTTTCAGAAATTAAATGCTACTGGGTTTCTTTGACATTTCCTATACAAACCCTATACAAAGATGTTTAATCACACTGTGTTCACTGTTACTGAGTCGTTCAGTTGTATTCTCCTCTTAGACCAGATCTTGTGCTCCATTTACGATTAATTCAAGAATAGGCTCTCCTCTTCTGTATTTCAGCTGCTCTAGTAGGTTGTCATTAGAAATTTTATCTAGTATGTAGAAATTTTATCTCTGCACTCTGTCCTGAGGTGATTTACCTTGTCAATATGGGGATAAATGAAATTCCAATGCTACTTACTACTGAGTTTTCTAGTTTTGTAGCTGCTCTAAAGTCCCTGAGCATTTCATAATCACCACCCTCACCCTGGTCAGTAGCATATTCCTACCACTACGCTCTTATTCAAGCATGGAATTTCTACCCCTAGAGACTCTATGGCACAGTTTGACTAATTTAAAATGATTACAATACTTGACTATACTTTCTTTCACACACAGTGCCAGTCTCAGACCAGCACAACCTACTCTGTCATTCATGTATATATTGTACCCCATTATGGCGTCACTGATTATCATTATTCCACCAAGTTTCTATTTTGCATATCATTTCATATCAGATGTCATAAATAAAACTTACTAGAAACACAATGTACCCATTACCAGCTGACACAATATGTCTGTGTACATGCTGAATGCAAAGTCTTAATTAATCTCACAAACTAAATGTTTTAAGGCTGCATTTTAATAGCATACTTCTAGAGGTGTTAAATCTCAATCTCCAACAGATTAATGTTACCAGACTTTTAAGGTAATCCTTCCTAAAAGGGTAAGACAGTAAAATTATAGATTTCTCACATTTAAATTGTAATTATACAGTTAACATCTTTAGTTATACTGGTACACATTTGTTTAAACAGTGTCTAAATACCAAATTCCTCCAGTTCCCTGGAGGAGGAATAGAATAATTTCATAAAGAGATGGAAAACAGGGGAAAAAATAGTAACATCTCCTTCCCGCATTCATTCCTTTGATATTGGTGTTTTCTTTCTACAATTCTGAATTTAGGAGTTGACAGAAGAAAAAAATGATTGTTTTAAAATTGAAAATGTGTAATTTAACAGGTTTCTCACACACAATGAACTCACACACTCTCCCAAATGAAAAACAATTGAAATGTTGTTGAAAAACATTTTTTATACTTAAATGGAAAGAACAAATGCATTAGGAAGCAAAGAAAAGGACTAAAAACTCTATAGCACTGTGCTTTTAGAAAAAAAAAATCTCCCTACTGTGGAAAAAAAATCTAATAAAAGTTTTAACTGAAATGCTTGTATTACTAACCTATTAGGTTTATCAAAGTGTATTGCTGTTTTTTTTGATGGAGCACAAGGAGGTAATTTCTCTCTCTCATTACCAGGGAGAGAATTTAGTGTATCATCTTTAGGTGTCTGTGAATCTGCTTCTGTAGATATGGGAAGGCTTCTTTCCTCAGTTTCTCCATTTTTATTGTCATTGTCTGAACTCTTGATGTCTAAGTAACTCCCATTGTCCTCCAGAACCGAGAGAGGCACTTGGTCTAAAGAGGAGTGGACTAAATCAGAAACCACTGGAACCATAAAGTTTTCATTCTTGAGGAAGTCTATTTTACTAAAAGAAGAAAAAAAAATATTACATTGTTTGCGGCTTTTCAAAAGAAGCTCTGAGTCAGGCAAATGAAACATGAAAATATTGTGGCATAAAAACTCTTTTACAGCCTCAGTAATGTGTCTTATGTAACATGAAATCTATCGGTGAAAACTCTAGCAGGCTATCCTCCTTTCATAGGGTACATCTACACACTGCAGAAAAAAAAAGCAAACCAAGTTTCAGAGTCTAGACCAGGGGTCTCCAAACTTTTCAGCCCGAGGGCCGCATTAACTATCAAACAGCAGTTCGGGGGCCAACTACACACAAGAGGTCCAAATAAAAAACAATCAAAACATGGATGTTGTTTTTAATTATTTATTTAATATTATTTTATTCAGTTATTATTTAATAACACATTGATACACTACACATGAACACCTGTATTAGTGTGAATGGTGAAATTGTTTCCTGGATGCCAAAATAGCAGACATTTCTGGCTTTAGATTTGTTGTCCCTAACATCAACAGTGACCTGAGATTATCATTGGACAAGTTTGTTCTCAAATTGTTCTTCACGTAATTTTTTTTCCGTAGACAAAAAGGTCTCCACGGGCCAGATGAGAGGGCCTCGCGGGCCGCATCCGGCCCGCGGGCCGTAGTTTGGAGACCCCTGGTCTAGACCAACTGACTCAGGCTTGTGCTATAAGGTTAAAAATACCAGCGCAGATATTGTTGCTCTGGCTAGGGAATCCATCTCACTGTCAAGGGGGCTATGTCTCCGAGCCAGCAGCCCAGGTTGAGTGTGAATGTTTACAGTAACAATGAGGTTCCACAAGACTCCTTGTCATATTTGCGGAGACAGACTAAGATAGCTAACACTCTGATAAATATCTACACTGCTATTTTAGTCCTGTAGCACAAGCTTAGATCAGTTGACCTGGCTCTGAGAATTGCTGCCAATGTTTTGTTTTTGTTTATTTTTTTTGCAGTATAAGTGCAACTCTTCATTGTAGAGGAAATGAAGTGTAACTATACCCTTTCATCTTTAAAATTTCTAAATATTCAGTCTATGTTTTGGGCTGAGCTCAAAGAATTCAACAAACACAAAGCGTGAGCACAAGCATGGAGCATAATATTTAAAATTTTTAGTTATCAATAAATTTTCAGAGTTCAGTATATAATGTACTTTCACCTATGCTGAAATGGTAAATACTGTATACACTTTGACAAAATGACTGAGAGATTATCACATTTTGAATACAACCTCTCTGAAGAAATGTTATTTTGTAACTTAATGGATACTTAAAAGCCAGTGCAAGACTAATAATTTCTTTTATTTCAAAAGGAGATAGTTGTTAAAATGAACATCGCTCAGCAGTGTTTGCAACACAAATATTGCACTACTTAGAAACCAAAAGAAACTGATGACAGAAATGAAATATACTCCTACACATTATCATTTTCCAAGCAGAGAGAAATGCAAACAAGCAATTGAACTACGAATAGCAAAAAGCATTTAAGTTCATTTTACTTTCACTACTTAAGCATATTTAAATATGATTCCTTATCTAGTTATATTTAAGTTATCATGTCCTCTTAATTTTCTGTGATTATGTGCAAGACAAAAATAAATTAATATGCAGTACAATTTAAGCCCTTAAAACGCCATAAATTTGAAATATTCTGCTGGTTCAAATGGAATTCTATATATTAAATGTAAGATTCTGCCAGTTCTAGAGATAATCCCTATGAACTAATGAGATTTTTTTGTTTTTGTTTAATATTTTACATATATTCTTATGTAAAATGCTGCAAAATAAAAAATACATACCTCTCAAGTCTTCGGATTTGTTCCATCAAAGACCATTTCTCACTATTTAATGCATTAATTTGATCTTCTAATTTTTGCACTAGTAAGCATTGCTAAAAGCAAGAAAAATAATTTAGCAAACTCAACTAATGACAGAACATAGCAAACCTACATACGTATCCTAACTACAATCTTACTTCTAATGACGGTGGTGCTCCAAATACAGCAACGCTCCCTAGTGTAGGAGTGGTAACTTCTAACTCATCCTCTTCCATGCCAACTGCTACATCTACAACATCTCTTGCAGCTACTTGATGGTTTCCGAAGTCACGATAGAGTTGTAACAAGTCTGGAGGCTTTGGAATGTTCAATCCTACATCATCCCACAGTTCAAAATCCTTAAAAAAAATTAACAGCAAAGTCAGAAGTCTATGGTTCATTTCTTTTTCTTCTTCAATTTTTTGTTCACTTCATTACATATAGAACAGCTTCAGAACAAGACACTCATGCCAAAATGTTAAGTAAACTTGGAGAAATCAATGTGAACTGCTAATACCCAACTAAAAGGAAAGGTCACAGTTCCTGCTCCAAGTATCACCCCAAAGAAATTTCTAGGTTTTGCATTAAGACGACTTCTAAAATATAAATCTGGCAATATCTGTAATTGTTACTTTCATAAGTAGTGTAGATTTTATGTGGTATGGTGATCAGGCAAAGTTTTAGCATAAAGCAGGCAGCTAGTGGAAGGGTACTGTACTACAGATATAGGGGTCTTTTTTGGTCAAATCTGAAATAAATTAAATAAATTCCACTTCACATATAGATTTTATTGTATTTATCCACCTAAATACTACAGGGGCCTACATTTTCAAAAATGCAAAGTCTCAGAAACAGTGTGCACAAATAATCCATTACTCACTTACCTGGTTATTTATGTGCATATTCACATTTACTATTGGGTACCATGGGTGAAACTTCCCCTTAGGAGACTAGCTTCCTGTCACACCTCTTCTCACCAAGGCTCTGCCTCTGCTTGCTCTCATCCTTTTCATGGCCCCAAATGAGTACAACCTCCACTCCAACTTCCGCCCCTCCGACATAGCCCTTCTTCTTACTCACATATACTCTTTGCTGAGGTCCTGGAACTGCAGTGGGGAACGAGAGCTTCTCCGGCCCCTGGACCAGAGCAGTAGATTTTTCCAGGGGTCTCAAATCAACCACTGCAGCACCCAGAAGTGTGAGATTTGGGAGACTTAGCCTCTTGCAGCCTCTACTGCGTATGATCCAGGTTGGTTATTCAAATCACAGTAATTGTGTACATTTCAAAACCTGGGGACCATTTTAATCTTTTTTGACTCCTCTAAAGTTCTACATTTTCTTGTTTGACTATTCTACAGTAAAACCTGCACTATCTGGAACTTAAGCATCCAGAAAACTGTAGAAACTGGCACATTTCTGACGCAGGGAAAAGCAAAAACAAAACAAAAACAAAACCAAAAAAAGGAAACTGGCCCTTTAAGTGCCAGGCCGCTCCCCAGATGAGCGTGCAGCACATACGTGGTAGACCGCGAACGGCAGCTGAAAGCAAGCATCTCGGCTCCCCCTATGGCTCCTGGCACCCCTGGCAAGCCAGCCCCCATGCAGCT